TTTGGGGAATGACAGAATAGCTGTAACCCCCTCCTCCCCAACTGCTCTTCTGAAGCAAAATTCACTGCATCATGAAGATGACTGTTGGGTACCACTGGAATTCTTCTGTCACCAAAAGAACTTCTAAGAAGGGCTTTTCCCTCCCTTGCAAAAGGCAGCCAGTGTAATAAAAGAAACTATGTGTCCTGCTGGTATCTCCCAAAAGAGGAATGTTCGAGATACAGATTTTTTTTTTCCAAGATATGCTCCAGGCAAAAAGGTTCAATGAAAAACTGACAGTAACCTCAGAAACAACTGTTAGAAATTCAGTCTGAAAGCAGTGGTGCCCCAAGTGAAGCTAGACATGGTAAAATCAATTTCAGCATGCTGAAGCAACCTCAAACTGCTACCTACCATCTTTGGGACTTCATAGAGGTCAAAAGAGGCTCTAGAAGAACCTCAGTGGTTCTTGGCCATGCTGGAAGAAAGTAACTTGTCCATGGGCATCAGTCCTGTATCTAACACTGGTTCAATACTTGAGTAACTCTGATGATGCAACAAAGAAAACTTTTATCAAATCTGCAACTTGGTGGAGAACAGGATTAGAATTCAAAATGATTTGGGCAAACTGAAGAACTGCTTGGAATTAATAGGAAAGATTTCATTAAAGTGCAAAGTCGTATAGCTACTGGGAATAATCAATGGCAGGAACACAAGATCAGAATTAATTGGCCACATTGCAGTTTTGCAGAAACCAAATAACCTAACAGATTACAAATCCAGGCAGTTACAAGCATAAGCAAACTTAACTGGATATACAACAAGGAACAAAATATCTAAGGCGCATGGAAGATATCTAGGTTGTTTGGGTACAGTAAGACAAGAGAAAGTTACAGCAATAAGACTGCAAAGGAAAAGGGAGCTGGAAGATACGATTCCAATATCACTGAGTTGGAAGATAAAATTCATCAGGGTAGTCTGTTTTACTCACTCTAGAGACTAAGGGAAGATGCATACATATTTGCCTAAGATATAGAAAGAAAACATGAATTTTGCATATTTACTCTGGATGGGTAAATATTAAACTGAAGAATTCCAGAAAAGAAATGTAAGTTACATGCTAGAAAAAAAATAATAAAAAAAATCTAGCAATAGGTTTGAGCAAGAACAGACATGGATATATGAAACCTGCCATTGGAAATCTGAGATTATGTAAAGACAGTGGCTCCCAAACTTCTTCAGCTAGAACAAAGGACCCTTGCCAATCAGACCTCAAATCTTGCTAATAACTACTGAAACTGAAAAGGCAAGTTAGCATATATTGCCAGCAAACCACTGAACATCTGGTAAGAAAAACATCTGAGTATGTGAGTGTTGGTAGACATTGATTCTTGTCTGGCATGAGGAATATACTATATAAGTGTTTATCTTTTAAATTTGAAGACTAGCTGGCTTATTAAAAAGGAACCCATGAGTCATTGTGTTTTCTGATGTTCTTTAGGGGAGATGGGGCAAAAAAAAAAGTAACTGCTGCTTATCACCTCTTAAAACAGCAGAAATAGATTTTAAAAAAAGTAATCTTAAACATATTAAAATACTGATAGAGCAACACACATGACTCATAACCAAAGCATTGCTATTTGGACATTTTAGAAGTATTTCAGTAATTTCTCATAGTTTCAATATGTTAAGATACTAAACATGGAAAAGCAATTGCATAAATGAGTCTTCTTTGCCTGTCAAAGACATTTTTCTGGTGATCTCTATGCTCTAGTTATTTCTGTTAAAAAAATGTGTTAGCACTTACCCTGAGAATCCAACAGAAGGATCATTTTAATTGTCTTATTTTATAAAAAGTTTTATTAACAGTCTGCTAAGAATAAGAATTTCCCAATTGTCACTGGCATAATGTCAAATTTGCTTAGTTTTCAAAAGGTGTATTCATAGGTCATGTTTGTACCTGAAAACCAAGCAATATTTTTGCCCTAAAGATCACTCCCCTAAACAACACACACAACAACTACCACACTTAGTGATTTAAAGCTCTGAGCTTAATATTTTAATGTTTTTTTAATTAAAAGTTAGGAAAGAATTCCTTTCATTATTTCCACTTTATTAATTAAAACAATTCACTTTTATCCCTACTTACTGACCTCCTCATCTTCAAATGTGAATGTAGGGGAATGAGTAGGCAAGCACTATCATGGGAGCAGGTCACCAGAAATATTTTGAGGCAAGCAGCTAGGGCAGTAGCTTAGCGGCATCCTTTCTTTAGGTAGCACTGCATGCCATCTTACATGCATGTGGAGAAGTGGAGGTCAACACCAGGAGATGACCTAGAAAAAGCTAGGTAAAGATTTATACCAGCTCATTTGGTAACAAATCTAATGATACATTCTGTTTAACTATCTGGCCTAAATTCCTAAAAGCGTCCTGAGCCAAGGCTCCAAACTTAGTAAGAGAGAAACAGAATTTGTACATGGATGAGATAAATTCCAACAGCTCCTTGACAATAGGACTCACAATCATTGGGACACAAATACCAAACACCTCTACATTAGTTGTGGAGAGAGGGAAGAAAGATGGACAGTTTCTCATTCTAGGAGAAAATGCATAGTGTATACAGAGAAGATGACGTAAAATAAAAAAGCACCTAAATCTATGTTAAATGTAGCTGAAACAACTAGAATTCTCAGCTCATACACAGACTCCTATGAGATGACAGACTGAATTTTTTTCCATGCTGAACACTTTTTTGCTGAAAGAGAACAAACACACCTCTTAGAATAATTGCA